CGTTATACGTGGCATCCCTTGTGGCCTGGCTTTGTGATAGCGGGGAGTTATCAATCACAACTCGAAGGTCTTGACAAATGATCTACAGTAACGTTTGTTGCACCGCTAATGTGTTCACAACTTTCAAGTCCAAAGAGGTCCATGGAATGGATTCGATTGGCGTCAGCATCTTGGATCTCTCTAACAAGTTGAGAATGTCTTCAGCGTTGTAGATGCTGGGAGTGGGTGTAACTGCTATGGCGACTAGCTATCTTAAGTCTTCATAGATAGGATGAGAGCCTTTTTTGCCGCCACAATCACGGGTGACACCCAAGGGAGCTACTCCTGCGACTGCCACCTGCTCTCAGCACATCTTTCACATGCTTGTCCAGGACTGCTCTTTTGTGTCAGCGAGATCGTCCATGGCTCTCAGATGGATTGCTTTACGTGTTTATAACCATTTTGGTGTCGGGCGCAGTCGTTAGCCCAGAATCTTTTACCACAAATAAACCCATCTTCCGCTCCAGAACTTGTGCTAAGAGCATGCATCTGAAATTGGTGCAAATCATTGGAGAGATTGACGATGTCAGGTGACACATAGCCAATGCTTAGCGGAGAGAGTTGACAAGTTGTTAGACGTGGCCCTTACAAATTGAATAATTTACGACTCGATGACAAACTTATGGAAGTGTTCACTTTTGGCTGGCCATGGAGTTGGCATGAGCCTAGAATTTAAAATTTCGCAAATCTAAACATTTCTCGACTATGTATCGCTTGGCTTGTGAGATGACGCGCGGTGCTTATCAGCATCGCATTCGTTATTGAAAGACAGGAATCCTGCCAAGTTGATGGAAAATAGCTTGGCTATGCGAGCAGAAGAGCAGCGTTGGTTGGCGAATGCCTGCCTTCGCCTTTGTGATTTGTCGGCACGCGCCGACAAAACCTCACGCTGCGTTGACTGCGTGATGTCGTGCATGACCTTACCCGTGACCTCTCGTGAACTTACTATGTGACCTTACTCGTGACCTCTCGTCTTCCCGCCCTACGCGGACTGGCGACTCGGAAATGGGTCAACCACGCCAGGGGCTCGTGGTGGCTGGGCTGGAAAAACTCTCCCCACGATAGGGAAGAAACGCAGCTACGCAACGCTGTGAAGCTGGCTACTTGGAGGGAATGTTCCGCCTTAAATGGGGCTTTGAACTGAAAAAGCCATCTGGACGCCCTTTTGATGTAGTTCACGGCCATGCCCTTTCTAAGATCCAAAGCTCTCTGGTTCCTGAATAACACGCCTGCAAAAGTGGCAAAAGATTTATCGAGGGACTATTTCAGAGCCATCTCCGCAATGGTGATGTCATAGAAACGTCCTACGATCGCCGTGATATTACAGGCTGTTTTCTGCTTATGGTCAAAACAGCATGGACGCTGATACATTCGCAAGAACGATGATGCGGCTCATCTGACACAATGCGCGGAAAATCATTGGCTGTTTGCGAGATTTCGCTGCTGAATGCGTGTCGCGAACGTAAGCGTGAGCACTTTCGGGTAGTGCGGCACTCCTCGTCAAGCGCGCGTTTTTCCTTATATTTAGGCCCTGGGCCTAAGTTATAAAATAGAATGCCACTCTCCGCAAAAAAATACGACACCGAAAGAAGCATGACGCTCTTCCGAATGTTTTAAAAAGAAGTCGCAACGGCAACTCTGTGTTTTCTCCCGCTGATGTTTTCTTCCACTCACGTTTTTCTTACGGACAGCTCGGTTGCCGCCGTGTGCACCTGAGCAAAATATCTTGCACGGGTTTATGGATAAGCTAGGCATAATAAAATGAGGCAACATTACAGTAAATATATATATATATATATATATATATATATATATATATATATATATATGTTACACATATTGCTGGACAAATTTAAATCATAAACCAAAAAATTATGTCCTTCAAGTTCAACCTCATGAGCTGCATGAACCCCGTTGGAACTTTGTTTGGATGGGAGCTCAAGGAGAAAGGTGGTGTTATGACCGAGAACCTGTGCGAAAATGGTGAGAAAACCTGCAATTTGATAGTCCCGCGGGCTGTGCAAATGTGGAATCGCGCTTATTTTACAAAAAAGTGACTCAGGGGCTTGAAATGGGTGCGTTCACCGGTGGTGCGTGTCATTGGCTTGTATTGATCTTGATGTGATGGGGAGTGTGCGTGCGTCGTTGGTCCTTCTGAGAGAGAGCATGGTTTTGATATTCTTTAAGTCTAATGACTCCCAATAAAATATGATATGTTGATACCTGCCTCTATCTTTATGTTCGTGTTTGAACAGGACAAGGCGGTGATGCTCGTAACCTGAAAGAAACACTAGCACCTATGTTGCAGGGGTGTGGAAAGGCAGTTTGTTGCTTCATTATAATCTTGCCAACATTTTTAGCCTTTTGAAGCATTTCAGCATGTAAGTAATCCATTGCATGTCATTATATTTGCGATTTATTCCGGCAGAAGGGGCTGGCCTGCGCAGCTCTTGAATGCACATGCTTGATTTAAGCTTACAGGATACAGCCTTGCAGAATTGTCTTCCACCTAAGAATTCTGAATTTTGTATGCAGGCAAGCATTGCTTGTGAGTCACCAATGTCATAGCCATTGCAACTCGTGAGATGCTGGATGCTGAGAAAGGTGAAGAAGTATTGCTGTCGTTTTTTGGATAGCACTTAAATAACATTGCTATCATGAACTTTGTGTGCATCAGCATCTTCACCACTTCCTTGCATTTCGCGGATCTAACCATAACTTCATGCATTTGTCATATCTCCACAGTTTTGCAAGATCAGCAGGTTTGCAGCATCATTTCACATGCAATATTTTCTTGTTGTGCACGTGGCATTACTTGCGTGAACGACATTTTTGAGTGAAGCAGCCTGGTAGCTGCAGCATGTTGCATGGCTGTGAAATCAGAAGACAAGTCTGCATCTTTGTCACCCATGTGTTGCGTATTTCCAAAACAGGATGAGCAAAGGATGTCACTTATTGGTCGTGTGTTTTGCTGAAGCTGATCTGCATACTGTGTCTTGTGTTTTTAGTCAGTCATGTGTCAGATGTGGAGTTAATACAAGAATGCATGCTTGACCAATCTTTTCATGATGGAATTTATCATGACAGCAGCAGGGATTGCAATACAAAAACCATATCATTGTTCATTATGCCATGCCATAGCACAGCACTGAGGTAGTGCCACGATGACACTGTCAACCCGTCTCATTACACAATGTACCACATAGGTTGACTACTCTATGTCAAGCCTATGAGATAGCGGCTTATAATTTATGAATGACTGGTAACAACTGATTTAACAACGCCAAAGGCCTGTCAACAGTGAGATTGCTGTTGCAACACAACGGTTATGTCAGGATTAACTAGTAATTGCATCAGAGATCCTACGAAAAAGAAACTTTTTTGGTAACGCAACCTTACCATCTTTGCCATAGAAGAAACAATGTTTTGGCAATCAATTCATAGCAGTTACATATTTTTATTTTATTTTTGCATGCAACTGCATTTCCAGTTATAAATAATAAAGGAAGTAGCTACTGTGCACACCACACGATATCCATGTTAGGACTTAAGCACTGCAGACAAGGAAAAGTCGACAATAAAGTATTGATATTCTCAACAGTCCCTGGCAGGTTTCGGTACGATATTCATGACAGTCTTCACATCATATCGTGCTATGAGATTAATGATCTGCCCTAAAAGCTGGCGATCGTTACTTTGCGTATGCGAATCAACCCATTGAAGCTTCTCTCACGACCAGCACCAAGACAAAAAATCCACAAACAAGTCAGCCACTAATCCGCCACCCAGCACAGCGCCCGCAACAGGAATGACTTGTTGGCGTCAGCTTTCGTGCGTTTTGAGGAATTCTTTAGGTCTGGCTGCCAGATGCTGCCAGGTTTTGCTGTCTTCACAAAACCATTCCATGAGGCCATCAAACAATGACGTAATGGGGCGCATTTTTACAAACCTTGAAATTTTGCTCTTTAGGGTGGTTTTTGAACCTTGAAAGCTTACCAATAGTTACTTTCCCGTCATATCTGATGCTTATCTCAATGCTTTCAAATGTGGAGCATTCCCTTTAATGGCGGCTCATGCTTTTACGACGCTGAACGCTGCTCTTTGCGAAATGTACATTAAATGGAATGAACGTTTCACAAAATAAGCCTCGCATGGAATGAAGTTTGCGCGAAATGTCCGTGACATTTCATGTTTTTATTCGCGATTTATTAGCGTGAAATAGTTGCCGATGACCTTGTTTGCTTAACAAGCCGTGCTTTGTCGTACCGCAAGTCCAAAATTTTCAGTGTAACAGAACAATTAGCATAGTGTTGATATACTCTTTTGACGCCTGGACGGACAAAGGCGCATGGCAAACAAGCAACAGATTGCAGAGCATTCATCTGAAATGCTCTACCTGAAAACTAAAAACGTGCCCCAAGCCTTGGTTTCCAGAGTTTTCACGATGAAGACGAGGCGACGCCATGCCAAAGCAGGAGCGGAGATTGCACAAAGCACGGCGCAGCTGTGATTCTGACTGCATCTTCGTGGGCTGCGTGCCCGTCCTTTGCTGGACGCGACGTCCACGCTGTGATGAAAGGGTTCACGCAGCAGGACAGTGGTGGAACATTGCAGCGCCTAAGAATGCCTATATAGATGAATGACAAGAATGACAATATTGCCACAGGTGGCAACATTGCCACAACATTGTCTCTTACGAAAGCCGGCATCCCAATAACATTCCTGTCTCCCGTTGTCGACCAAAGACGTCTGACAAATGTGGACATCGATCTCTCCGTGCGGGTGGCCAGGGCGGTCTGCGTCGCATCGCCTATAAAGACTGCTGTCCTCGGGCGGCCACCACCCTTTCCGTCATGTCGTGTCTCGTGCTGGTAAGCCTGCTGGCCGTTGCCGCCGCCGCGCCCTCGAGCGTGTCACCGCAGAATGAGGCGCTCTTCACCGGGGAGATCCCCGAGTCGCAGTACCTGTTCGAGAATCACCTGTTCACCTGTTCGAGAACCGCAACCCGAACGTGACTGATTTCGGTCTGGAGCTGTTCGAGGTGGACATGGTGCTGACGGAGGAGCAGAAGCTGGACCGGAAGGCGGGGCCCAACCTCTGGCCCGGCGGCCAGGTCAGGTACGCCATCACGTCAACGTCCGAGCCGGACCGGGCCGCCATGGTGGCGGCGCTCAACCACTGTCGCCAGCACACCTGCGTCACCTTCACCGAGGTGTTGGCCAGCTTCGCCGGCGAGCCGCACCTGCGCTTCAGCAGGCAGTCGGGCTGCTGGTCGTGACGGCTGGACGTTGGCCGCATCGGCCGGACGTCCGGACAGGATGTCAGCATCGGCAACGGTTGCACCGGCCTGGGCACGATCGCGCACGAGGTCGGCCACGCGCCCGGTTTCAACCACGAGCAGTCGCGACCGGACCGAGACAGCTACGTCGCCATTCCGACCGGGAACATCCAGGCCGGCAAGGGCGGAAACTTTGACATCGCCTCCAACGCCAACAACTACTCCGTGTCTTACGACTACACCTCCGTCATTCACTACGGCAAAACGTACTTCAGCGAGAACGGCCAGCCGACCATCCAGGTGAACCAGCTGCAGTACTCAGGCCTGCTCGGCAGCGGGACCGGCCTCTCGCACCGTGATGAGCAGCTGGCTAACGCCATGCACAGCTGCGCTGCCAGCTGCTCCAGCCCGCCCGCGTGCCAGAACGGCGGCTACGTCAGCAAGGCATGCAGCTGCGTCTGCCCGCCAGGCACCAGCGGCTCCCGCTGTCAGACGGTGACGGCGCCGTACTACGGCAGCGTCTGCGGCAACCAGGCCATCACCTCGGCTGGCACCGTCAACTCCATCAACTGGCCCAACATCTGCCCGCGCAACCAGAACTGCTTCTGGATAGTGACGGCGCCGGCTGGCCGGCGCGTCAGAATCACCTTTAACACTGCCAAGGTGCTGCACCGCTACAGCGACGGCAGCTGCTGCTGGGACTGGATCAACCTGTACACAAACAGCGACAACTCGGCCGACGTCAACGCTGGCGGCAGTGAGCTGCAGGACAAGACGTACACCTCGACCGGCAACCGGCTGGCGCTGGAGATGCACACGTACGCCGGCGGCAGCTATCCCTCCCTGCAGACCGGCTTCACCGCCTCCGTCAGCTTCGTCTGAGGAACCCGGGCACCCGGCGAAAACGGGTGGTCATTCTTGCACCCCACCGCACCCCCTACGTGCAGCTTACGTCGGTTAGCGCCTGATAAGCTCTTGGTTGTTGATTTCTTTCCTTTTTCCAAGTCGATGCGCTTTTCGTAGCACATGAACTTATCTGCAGGAAAATGTTGGTGCCTTCGTGTGAACACTATGTCATCTAATGCATACAGCGGAGCATCAAAACATTGAAGTTTTCCCCAAAGACTCAAAGCGCTATCGATTATGTGCAGTCAGATATTTAAGAGAAGCTTAGCCCTCAACGCAGTGAAATGAAAATGAGCCAATAGAGCTTCGTGTTGCGTGGCATTTCGTTGGCATAACTGAAACATAACAAATTTTCAGCTTCAAACAATATTTCAGTTTTGATGAAAGGTTGTGCCATTTCAAAACACAAAACTGGCGAATACGCTGAAAGACAGCATGCCACCTTGTTGTACTTTCACTTAGTTATATTAGACACGTCTGATTTGATCTGTAATGCCAGTTTTCTCACAATCCTGAAAACTCAAAATTTTGAGTTGAAATAGCCGCTCCTAGAAGTAATATATTTGCTTTTCTTTGCTTTTTCAACGTGTGTGCTCGGCAATGCATGTAACATACAAATTTGTCAAGATGCTTGAGTAATAAGCGCTACGAAACCTTGAAACACTGTGAGTATATTTATAAAAAAATGTAAGTCAACATGAGGCTATTATCCCGCAAATTCAACCCTTGGATTGCCGAGATCTCACATCAGTCCTGAAAGAACGCTTCAAGGCCGGCAATTCGTTATTTGTGAACGAGCGCACTTACGCAGTCGAACGAATCGATTTGCATTTAAACCTATGCGATCTCTTTTTTTCCATGTCGAAACGTGTTAATCTCATTCGCCTTGCCCCATCCCCCCCCCCCCCCTCTCCACCCCCGCCTCTCTACGTTGCTGAGCTATGAGCTGGATTTCAAAACGAAGGTTGGCACTTGTCAACGTGCGAATCTTTTGTTTCACATGTTGAACCGATAGAGCAGCTTGCGCGACGTTTTCGACGCTGCTCGCCGGCCGGATCCAGTCATAAGTTTGAAGAGATTGATCCACATTCGTATGGGATTTTTTAAACTCAGCCATTTTCATGACCATTCCCTACAGCTCACAGCCATGTCCCTTTAAATACTTCAAATCTCCTCCTTTCTGGGTGTGATGCACATGAACTTGTACAGTCTATGACGCATCACCTACGGGAAAGTCGCTCAGTCACTACCGCGCAACAAAATTTTATACAGACATCTACCTCATCGGCTTTTTACGCTCATGGTCAAGAAAAGTAATGCCTCTAATTATTCGGTGAGAATGAGGTTGATAATCAAAGTACTTAAGTGCCTGGAAGTGCAACTGAAAGTACGGAAAATGCGACACAGAAAATTATGCAAGAACACCACGAGGAAAGGCCAAAATAAGCTCATCTACCCTCGTTCGTTGCAATAATACATAAATCAACAACGCCACCTTGTGTCGCATCAAAGTACCACGAGTGAGCCACGTCACTCGCTACAGCGGCAACTCTGGCAGCGACTTTGGTGTCATAAAACTTTCCATGACGTAATCTAATGATGATTTTATTAGAAACGTGCTTATCAATTAGTAAAAGTGTGCTGTTTAGGAGCTCTTTTTCATTTAAAAGCGTACCAGTAGTTTTAAGCGAGCTTTTCCATCATGTATCATGCTTGCCTCGATGCCTGCAAATTTGGAACAGCCCTATAAAGGGAACATTGGTATTGGGGTTTGAACTGAAATAGCCATCTTGAAGATTATCCGATGCAGTTCACAGCAATGCCTTTCGTAAGACCTAAGCCCGTCTCTGTTATGAACTTCACGCCCGCAAAGATGTGCAAACTGTTTCAGAGAGACTATTTTAAGGTCACCTAGGCATAAATGACGTCATAAAACGTCATTCGTATACTGCCACTTTATTGGCCATGCGAAGATCAAAACCAATAAAAATAGAATTGTGGGGTCGCTCATATCTGGCGTTCGTGAGCACAATTTCCAAACATAACGGCTGCCAGTTGGTTCTCAATCAATATTGTGCAAGGCACGATGACGTAACCAAACAAGGACGTATTGAGGAGAAACTTACTGAACAGGGAAATTGTGCTGCCTAATGCAGCTTTTCCACTCAAAGCACTCCAATAATTGTAATTAGTGGGCTTATTTCATCATATATGATGGTGGCTTCAGTATCTTCAAATTCGGATAATCCTCTTTATTACATTGATGCGGCCTTGCTGCCCAGGCCACGTCTGGTATTTCATGCGGCCAGCGGACACCGGCACCAAGCCGAGGCTCAACATGTGTTTGACAGATGGACATGCGAGCAGACGTTGCCACAATGATAATATTACACTGTAATGTTGCGTTTACATCAAATTCATCTGGTATTTGCGGTGTTCTTTGGACACCAGAGTCGCAAAGATGTTGTTGGTAAAGGGAACTGGAGAGCGTAGGACTGCGGCAAGGTGTAACCCACGTGCACACTCCATATCCACTGAGACCCGTGATTGCGGTACCCAGCGCTGTTCACGGCCTCGAAAAGTTGATGGATCTGCACCTGACGGTGGGTATGGATGTGCACCTCATCTTTTATTTATTGGAGGTTCGCTAACACTCAACATACATTCGTGGCTATCACGTGGCATTTTCCAGGTTATAAAAGTTAGTACAAAACAACGGAAAGTCATAACAGATCAAAACATATGAACGCATGCATGCACAAACAGTAAAACACAAACTCATCGCTCAAAAATGACTTGTCAGCGCACTTAATACTTGTCGGATCCAGTCGTCTCACATCCAGGGGAACAGAGGACTGGCCGCTCGGTACACGAAGGACCGCTGTCCTGACGTCGTGCGCACCGCCTGGGGCGGGGCGCTTGTTTTGATCCCTGCGGGCAGAACGGTCCCAGGCCGCGGGCGTTTGAAACAAACAGGCAAGATGCGCATGTTTGCGTCGGTCGCCGGCTTCGTGCGCAGCGGGCTTCGTGCGGGTACGGGCGACATTGGAACGTTGGAAAGAACAGGTTGAATGGAATGGCTAAATTAGAATGGGCCATGTCTAAAAGCAGCAGCAGCCGGGCTGCAGGTCAGGTGAGGCCAGAGGGCGGGGTGAACTAAGCTGGGTCTTGCGACACGCTTAACGTCTTACTCGGTATTGTCTGGAAGGGGGGGGGGGGGTCGTCATCACATGTACTTTACCGATTGGGCTTTACGGCGCGCCCAGATACTGCGGTCATATGTATTCGTCCGCGTCTCACCTTGACAGGAAGGGCGGGCACCGCAGTGAATCGAACGCGGTGCCTCTGATGTCCACACGGGCAGCGTCGCTAATCCGCTGCCGTCGTCGGGGTTCCCGTCGGCACCTGCCCGTGGGTGCAGCGCGCAGGCTCCGGCCGACGCCGGCCGCCGTCGCGTCGGGCTCGCGCGCCAGACGTCGGGCGTGATCCGACGCGCCGCCAGCGACGACGACCGGCCGGCCGCCCTCGCCGCTCCGCCGAGCATGGAGGGCGCCCCGCTAAACGTCTGCCTGGCCGAGGCTGTCGCCAGCCTCAACTGCTCCGAGACGGGGCGCGGCATGGTTTGCGACCACCCCGACGAGCGGGACAGCACCCCGCACGCCGTCACCGCGGCCGCCATCGCGGCGATTGAGCTGACCGGCGTCGCCGTCAACGGCATGATCGCCTACACGATCGTGCGCGAGAGGCGCTTCCACACGGCCATCAACGCGGTGCTGATGGCGCTGACGGTCACGAACCTGGCGCTACTGGCGGTCTTCGCCCTCATCTCGGCTGACATGGTGTCAGGCCGGCACGTCTTCTGCCGGATGCCCGGCCTGGCAGGGCTCTTGCACTTGACCAGCACAGTCATGTGCTACACGACGGTGGCGGTGCTGCGCTTCCTGCAGGTGGTGCCGGCGCTGCGGCTGCCGCGGTCTCCCGGCTGGCTGCTCGGTCTCGGCACGGTCGTGCCGCTGCTGGGCGGCTCCGTGGGCGGCGCCGCCTGGCTCTGGCAGCCCTACAACTGCTGGCCGATGGGGGTGGTCGACTCCCGCGGCCGCACGGTGCTTTGCACGCAGCTGCCGAACATTGCGCTCGCGACTCCGGTCCTCCTCGGCTACGAGGCGCTCGCCGTGCTCGTCTGCGGCTTCTGCTACCTCATGGTGCTGCTGACCGTGCTACAGTCGCGGCAGCGTCTCCAGCGGGACATCTCGCTCCCGAAGCGCGCGATCAAGACGGCAGCGCGCCCCACCACCGTCGCGGTCTCCTCCGGCTCCAGCCCCGGTCCTAGCACAATCAGCGGGTTCCCGGGGCGGGCAGAGGCGAGGCAGGCCGCCTGCCCCCTCGCCGTTGCAGGACCGAGCACAAGAGGCATGAAGGCGCCCTCCGCTCGCGTGCTGCGGGAGGCACACGCCTCGCCGGGCCATCAGACGCTGCAGCACTCACACACGCTTGACGTCATCGAGGAGCTGGAGGATGGACCCGCCAGCGGTCTGGCTGACCAGACAGACGGCGACGGCGATAGCAAAAGCGTGGCGAGCGCCATCAAACCCGAACACGGCGGACATCCGGCCTCTAGATCTTACACCGCCGAGGGCGACATTCGCACCTCCATCTCCTCCCGCTTGCCGCAGCCTTCCCAAGCTGAAGCCCTGTTCTCCCGCATTGACGTCATCACCTGGATCTCCTCGTTCTCGCACCTGGTTGTGCTGGCCTTCAGTGTGATCGGACCAAGCGTCATCATCGCCACGTTTGGAGTTGGCAAGTATGCGTTGTCCACCAGCCACGACCAACACGAAAAAATCATTGCGGTCATCCTGACCCTGTTTTTCCTCGCCGATCTCCAGCCTCTCGTAATGGTCGCATTCAGCAGTGACTTCAGAGGTGCCATACTGAAAAACCTAATGTGCATGCAGCGCTGTCTAGCCGGCTGCTCG